AAGCCCCATCCCCCACCCTCATCTTCTCCCAGGACAAACAAGCTCGATCATCATTCCAGCAGCCGAATCCTCCAAGTGTCAACCCTGTTCCATCAGCAGACGCAAGCGTAAATATATGTCTTAATTCTTAATACAGTTTAATGTAATATTTATGTAAATATTTCATGATTTCTCTCTATATTAACAGGCAGAAATGTCAAAGCTCACATAAAATGAAACAATGCCATCTCCTTGCAGGAGGAAATTTAAATTGCATTCCTCAAGCAGCAACACATTTGTATGTGCAGATGAAGGGGAAAATTGGGAGCACTTTAACTGCATGTTGCAAATATTATACAAAATAAGTCCTCCTCTCAGTTTTATTTACATACAAGCCTTTATGTTTAATGTGTACTGAGGGAGGCGTTTTAATTTTTTTCTTTCCTAAGGGACGTCTTATGCAGCTTAAATGTGTAAAATGCAATACGAAATGTATATAAAATTAAAAAATGCCTTTTTGGCTTGAAATTGAAAACAAGTGCAATTCTTTAACATCTCGTTCAGATTCATATCTCCTTTATTTGAAATCCTAAATGAAAATGATCAGCAAAATTAAGATGTACAGTTTCCAAAACCTTCTAAGTCACAGAATTGTCTTTTATGAATATAGCTTGTCATCCATTCGTTTTACAAAGAAGGGTGATTTCATTTGGTGATCAAACTGTATCCTGTAGGGTCCTCTTAATGAAACATCAAATTGCTCTGTATTCATTCCCTTGCTTGATGTTTTCAAAATTTATGGCTCTTAATAAAGTCTGTTTTTCCGAAGGATGCCTCAATTAAAGATTAATAGAGTTTCAGACACATACAAGGTCATCAAGAAAGTACTTTTTTAGTGTTTTGGAGATTACTTTTTGGACTATTTGAAGACTTTATGTCATTGCTTAGTTGGACGTACAGTATATTAATTTCTCAGTAAGACTCTTCGTGATCAATACACCATAAAACTGAATGGCTTTTCTTGATGTAATTGAGACAGTCTGTGTCAGATGTTGACATGACCTCAGTAGGTTAGTCACTGCAGCTGGGCTCCAGGAGAAAGTTAGAAATCATGCAGTTTAACTCCAGGGTGAGGTTTTTTCAACATAAGCCAAGGACCTCATCTGCCGAAACAGTAAAGAGAGGAGTATGAGATGCAGAGCTCCCTACAGTAAATGTATTCATTCCCCCGATGAAATCAGAACAACAAACATATAACAGAAATATGTACACATTGGATACCGTTTCTTTATTGTAAAGATTTCTATACTGTAATCTGAATAGAATTGCTTTGCAAAGCTTGGTCATATTTGTCATGAATAAATTATTGAGGGTCACGTTCCTTCATATACCTGTGGTTAGTTCGTTTATAAATCCTCCTCTGGCAGGGCTTACACTGATTAGACACCTCCTGTAGTGCCCTATGAGCTGCGCTGTGGCACTCCAGAGGGGGGAATTTATGAACAGTCCGCCGTGCAGCGTTGCCCTTTGTTTTCTCTTAGTGAACTGCCATCTCAAACCGGAATCACAGATGTTCAATTGGAAAGGAAGGTCTGAAGAAGGCCTTTGAGATGTTTTATGGCGTTTTTCTTCCTATGTCACCAGAGGTAGGAATAAATCTACCATTGCCTCCTGCGGTTGTTCCTGCGGGCCTGGCGACCGGAGAGCAGTTAGGCATGGAAATGACTCTGGGTGCTCTTTTTTCTTTACTGTTTAAGGCCTGAGAAGCTGGTTCCCCCTCCTGGCATCAAGCCGGCGCAGGTAGTTAGATGATGGGAAGGAGAAGCGCAAGGCTGCTTTTTGGACAATGTGGATCTCTACTAGGCCTTGGGAAGTGCATCGCATACAGTGCGTGGTTGTAATACCGGGCCTGGCTAAGTCACCTGGACCCTTACTGTCCCCCATCTCGTTGTTACAGCCCGGCAGTAATACTTGGACACAGACTCACATTCTCCAAGTGCCCTTTTTTAATACATGAATGGATCAACTTTGAAAGCAGCGGTTATTTAAAGAAGGCAGGTGTCAAGCAAAACTGTAATTGCAGAAGACCGGGCTGCCTGGATAGCTACAAGAAGCCATGCAAGAAAGGGGTTAAAGTTGCATACTAGCCTCCAGTAACCCGTCGACCTCCATCTATTTACAACCCTTGACATTGTTTTTTATTTCAGATTCAAAATGTAAGTAATCTTAAGTCAAGGACAACTTAATATTTCAGGCTGTGTGGAACGATAAAACAACACTCACCTTTTAGCACCAAAAAATATTTTAGTAAGCAATTTTATAATTGGTTGTCTGGTATGGGTTTTTTTTTTCAATTTTGTTTTCTTAACCCATAAACCTCAGAAGTGCCAAAACTGGGAGAAATGCCATTTTCACACAGAGGTTGTGTGCCTTTAAAAAAAAAAAAAAGCCTTATGAATAGAAAGCCTGGAAAAACAGAGCCATAAATTATTTGACGGGCAATGGGTTTTCCTTTAAATAAATACCGATCAGGTTTATGTTGAAAGACAATAGAAAACGTAGCCCAGATATGCAGTTTACAGTATTTATAGCTGTAATATTGAGGTGCCACCACCGTAATTTCATGCCCCAATGAGAAGAGCAAGGTCAAAGCAAATGCTTCAGTTCAGCATCTGCTAATGCACTAACTCATAAACAGGGCCTGTGTGTATCAGGTGCACGAAATAATACAGTATAATGAAATACAGAATAGCTTTCCATTATTGTTCTTTTTTACGGTGTCGTCATTAGATGTAATTTATGTTTTTAAAAAATTCATCTAGGAGTAGGTCGATGGGAAATAGGGGTCTTAAAGGTTATTCCACAGGTTTTGGATACAGTAATAAATTTCGTATTTCCCTTTTTTTCCACCTTTTTGTATTTAAATTTGATTTGCTTGTAGTTGTTGTTTTTTTTTTTTCCTTGTCCTTCCACCCACCACCTCCTCCTTAGAAATCACAGGCCGGGTAAACTACAGAGCCAGGATTGTCACAAGAGTTGGGGGTTCGTTTCCCCTTGAGAAAAGTACACGGATAATACGGACGTTGCAAGGGAAATTATATATTCCTCAACAAGGCAAATTTTATCGTTTAAAGGAAATTTTTATTGAGGGTTCTAACAGTAAAATAAATACTTGTCTCCACACTCAATAGTCTGTCCCCGTTGTGTCTGGTGAGGTTGGATAAATCTGCAGATCAGAATTCTAGTAGAAGTTATAGCTTACTGGACGCCGGACACTGACTGGTACACCCAGCATCGTGCCATGCTACATGTGTACTGGCATCTGCCTTGGCCACAGCTGACTGGCATCAAGACCACACAGCCAGTCGTGTCTTAAATTATTCAACATTTTTTGTTTCTGCCTCCGTCTAGGAAAGTGTCCAGCTTGCGTCATGCTTGCACTGGGCCAAGCCCGCTCTGAGTGTTTCTCGTGCATTTTTGTGACCCGTGCCCAAAAGATCGCAGAGCTGGATGAATGATCATTTTATGAAGCCAGCAGAAGGTTGAAATTCCATCAATGCCACAGTGGCACTAGAGGGTAAATGTGAATCATGCACTCCGCGCGTTCAGTAGCTGCCTCCCACGCACACAGTCTCTAACTGGGACAGGAGCCCCGCCCATGTTGTGTTTTTGATTTTAAATACTGGTTGAATATGTGGAAGATGAGGTGAGAAGAATAAAGCAAGAAACGAACTACGAGAACCAGACGTGAATCTGCTTTCATATCTATCGGACAGCACAGGATACCAAAGTGCTAAAATATTCAGTCCACACGTACACATAAGTACAGTATTAGGTATTAATTAATTCAGTAAACGGGTGGGAACTAAAAGTATTTAAATGAAACCACAGCTGTTTCTTGTCAGTCACCTAGTTCTAGCAGTGCCGTGTAGGAAGTGCTTTTGTTAAGTATTGTACCAGTGTCTTGTTAAGTATTGTTAAGGTCTGTCACATTTGTAAGTCTCTTGTAGCGTGCCAGAAAATATCAGGGCACTGTTTTATTCGGTTTGTTTGCTGAGGAGTGCAGCACTTCATGTCAATTAAGGTACATATATTTTCTCAAAATTCAGGTATGCAACTGACATACCTTTGGCTTTTAGCCCACTGGAGACAAAGTCATCTGTGATGGATGATTGAAAAAGCATTAAGATGGCTAACTAAATGTGTCTTTCCAGTAGACCATGTTTTGCTTTTTTGAAAAACCTTTTCCTTTAAGCTCATTTACTGCCTCCAGTGCTTTCACAATTTTCTGACACTTGAACTGAATCATTAAAAAGTATATTGCAAAGAACCATTCCTTTCTTTTTAACTGAATTGTATTGTAGGCGATACTGGCATTACTGAATGCTGTGAAATTCAGAAGGTCCTGTTCCTTTATCTTCCTGTGGTGTTATGTGAAACAATTATACCTTATTTAATTATTTCCTTGGTATGATTGAAATGCAGTGTATACTATTTGATATGCACGATTTTCCCTTGTCTATAAAAAGTTTTAGGCTATTTCAAAACAATAGCAACAAAATCTTACCTTTGCAACAGTAAGGTTACTTTTAGTACAAATGAACATGGTGTGCAATTTGCAAAAACAGACTGTAATAGAGCTCTTTTCAATTTAATTGTTAGTAAAATTATTCAGTACTCTTAAGATTGAATTATTGTGACATTGAAAAATTCTGTAACACATTTGAAATGGAGATAACACATTGGATTTTAGACTTGTTCTCTATTTGGTATTTTTCTGGGAAATGTTTTTTCCGTAAATGGTAATGCACTATTTCCATAGCAGTCTGGTTTTGATGGCCAGTTTTGGCATTAAACAATCTCAAGGTCAAGTGCTTGTGAAAGGACACAGTGGAGGCCTGTGTTCACCTGAAAATTCACCTGAAATTCTGTATTGCATCGAGAATGTGGCATGTAAGAGTGGTTGATAAAAATGGCTTGTATTGTGGGTCTATTAATCTCGGGTGTATCCTCTCACCCAGGTCTGACAGATGAGGAAGTGGACCTGGCTCTCCAGCGTTCAGGCAGTACCGAAGAGCCCCTCCCTGTGGCCCCTGCCAGCCCCCAGCACCTGCTGCATCCTCCTCACTTGGCCCCCGTGCAGTACAGTGAGTACCAGAGCTGCCTGGCTCTTGCACAATCGGTATCCTGGTTTGACAGTCAAGAGCCCTGCGGTCATCAGCAGGCTGATCTGGATTAACTGCGCAGTACACTAAATTACTTTCTTCTGTGTGCTTCAACTCTACAGTCCTAGCTTGGGTATCCAGTCCTGGTCTTGGGAGTGCAGGTTTTCATTACACCTGGCTTAATTGGCTTAATTGGACCAGCTTAACAAATGGAGTTGGTGCTGCTTTAAAGAGACCTAGAAAACCTGCAGACACACCAGCCCTCCAGGAACGGAATCGGATACCCCTGTTGTAAATCAATACGCATGCTTAGCCTAAATGCAGAAATTGCTTTTACTGAATGCAGAAATCCTTGCTTTTGACTTTACTGAGTATAGTGAGAAAAAAAGCTGGCTGATATGCTTTTTATATAAGTCAAATGATGGAGCTCTGATACTGACAGTGAATCAGTTTAATTAATCATTCAGAGATTTAAAAAGTGAACTGCAACTTCCTACTCTAAGCTGATAGATATCTTTTGTTGTACACTTGAGGCATCACGTAACAGAGGTTTCATAATACATTGATGCAAAATATATGCTATAACTCTGTGAACACCCTTCCTTTAGCATCAGATCTTTGATGAGCTGTTAAAAAATCCAATCATCATGATGTTGGCACAGATGTTGTTACTACAGTAATTATTTAACAAATGGATCCAACTGCACCTACTCTGCACAACATCCCACTCTCTCACCACCTCTCATAGGAAGATCTCCAGCAGGTTCCCAACCTGTATCTTTATTACCCAGAGGTTATGAGCGCTGCCTGCTGATTTACCAATGCAGAATGAAGTCTGTGTAATGCCTAACCTGTATGACAATGATTTTTAGATATATTCCACCCTCATTTATTATAACACTGTCCTTGACTCCCAAGCATTTCATGTTTTGTAATGAAAGTGGTGTTGATGGGATGCAATGTAGTTAGGTTCCATCCTGGATATAGTGGGTTTTATATCAAAACGGCTATAAGCGAGCTGCATAATGAGGTTAGAATGTTGCATCTCTCACACATGGGTCATTCAGAAAGAGAGGGCTACCTATTTTGATGTCCTTGTTACATGAGTATCGTGTAGGGAACTGCATTCATCTCTGTCGGAGTAATGGATACTCTGATCTCTATTTTCAACATGTGGAAGGACAGCTAGGCCTCTCTTGAACCCAATAAATTTGAGAGAAGATTGGAAAATGTGAGCTCCGCAGCTCAAGTGACCAAATAAAAGCGATGGTGGGGGGGGGGGGGGGGGGTGACGAGCCCACAGATGGGAGCCTTTTTGGACCTCCATGATGGAGGAGCTGAGGCATTGTCTCTCTTGCAGAGGCTGAACTCAGGAGAGATAAGAGAGCAGAAGGCCCCGTCAGGCTTCCCTTCGCCTGCACAGTGACACCTGGGGTTCTGTTGAATGGCAACCGTGCAAAAGCAAAAGCCTGCTAAAATGTTTTTAAAAAGGACATAATTTACAAAAAGGAACATTCGGTTTTCTCTCAACAGACTTTCCATAGCTTTATTTATTTTTTCCTTTGGTTAATTTCACTTCTTATACAGCGTACTGTGCTGAGTCAGTGGTAAAGGGTGGCTTTAATGTGACAAAAAACTGCTTCCATTACAAAATGTTCAATTTTCAGCTGTTTTAGTTGCCCATTCTTTTCCTTCTTCTTTAAATCCATATTTAGCTCAGTTTAGCACAGTGGTGCAGAAGTCATATCTGGCCCACCTGGGGTTTTCTGAAGAAGCCCAGTGTGTGCAAGCAAGTGCAAGGGATCGAATGTGCTTTTCTTTCTGTGAAGTTCAGAAATCAGATTTGCGTTCTGATAATTTATCGGGGGGAATTTTCACTATTGGTAATGCACAGGATGCTTTATCTCCTGTGTCTGTTGCAAAAAGGTTCAATTTCTGCCTGTTTTCCACAAGTGAGCATTCCTCCACATGAGGGTAGAGATTTTTTATGTGCTGTCTTTGTGGTTTTTTTCCCCCTCTTCATTTCCTTGCCAAGCACTGGCAATGAACCTTTACCAAGGGAAAAAAATTAAAGAATGTTTGGTTTTGATTAATCTGAAGAAACAAGACTTTGCATGAATGACAATAAATCTGATAAATGATATTTGAATTAGTTGTAGCTGTAATTTATTACATAAAATATCATTTATTTGACATGAGATTATTTGCTAGAAGCATCAGTCAGCCTGACTAGTTCAAACAAGCCATTAGCCAAATCCTTGGAAACCACATTGTTGGATTACAAGGGATACAAATCTTAATTAGAAAAAAAAAGGAAAAATAATTTTAGAAAGTGCAGTCGTCACGTGGGTTAGTGTGGGGGCATCAGATTGAGTCTGCTGATCCTTCACTGGCGATGTACCCAGAGGCCATACTCGAACAGTCCCTGGGGTAAGAAAACTAACATATCTTTTAACTCAGAGGGACAGCTCTGATGGACAGTGGCTCTTATCATTTAGAGCTTTCACTGACATAAATTAAGTTTATGAAGTAGAATATTTGCTTGGACATAGTCTATAAATCGAACCCGGAACTACAGTCCGCTGCTGTTCATTTTTCTTATTCTTTTTAAGAACAGACACCTAATTTTTTGCTTTTCCCACGAGAGCTAGCTAAGACAATGAATGAGCTTGTGCCGCAGGTGGACAATTGGGTGGATCTCTAAGTGCCATTAAAGTAAAAGTCATTTCTTTTCTGGTCTGAATTCATTGTCGTTCTACTAATGGAAGACTAGTGGAAAATTGGAAACATTTTCGCAGTTCCAAAGATTATAGGTGTAGTCTACTCCAGCTGAATGACAAACACACAAAAAAGACAAAACCACTTTGGGTTAGGAGTTGTGGAATGGGATGTTAAATTAACAAAGGCACGTGTCATTTTTCATCCAGAAGCTAAAAGCATAGGCGAAGATGGAAATGTACATCTTGGGATGGGACGGGGGGGGGCACAGGAGGAAGAAGGGATGGCCGTGTGAGAATGGGGACATTCCAAACTGGGAATGGAGTTCCAAGAGGCAGGAGAAGACCAGTATGGAGGCCAGGAAGAGGAAGTGAAGAAGCTGAAAACAGGACTTCACAGGCGGACCTCATTCCGTTGTTCAATGAAGATGATGAGGATGTGAGGGATAAGAATTTGTCTTTCAAGTGGGATTAAGTATTTAGGGAAAGAATTGTTGGTCTGGCTTTAAAAAATGAAGAAGTATTAGTATATTGTTGGAGTGCTTTCTTTGATAGAAAACTATTTACAGACAGTGGAGATTAGAAATCACAGGCCTGTCTGCACCTGTGTTTAGTATTCTGATGTCATTAGGTTGTCGAATAATACTTTTCTACAAGGTGTGCATTAATTGTCTCATTGAATACATAATTGATCAGTTTTACACATTTTTCAAGGATGATCAGTGAGATTCACTGAATTGCGATTCAGCGACAGTGATCCGAGAGTTCGTTAAAAAAGACATTATATTTACTGTATTTATAGTGACACTCAAAACATAACTCCTTTTTTTCAGTCACACAATGGAAAACTTTGCAGAGTGCACACCTTGAGTGTGGCCAAGATCTACTCAGTTTATGTAGTGTCCACACAGTTCCAGTCTGGCTCTCTGGGAGATGAGGTCTGGCCAGTGTCCACCTCGATGCTCCAATCTCATGTCTACAATATTACTTTGCAGTCCCCCCAAGCCAGAAGCCCAGATTCACAGTAGACCGATTTTCTCTGCAGACAGGACTTTCAAGTCCTGACAGGTCATAAGTTAAGATCAAGAGCTCTTCTGATTGATCTTTTACTGATTTAGCATTTGTTTGTATTAGTGGACCAAATTATCAGTGCAGCCTCTGTCTAGGACTTAGTCAATTGTGTAGAATTCCGATGCAGATACAGTTACAAGCTAAACCAAGGTTTCCCTCCTGCTAAAGGCGAACACCTTAGAATAGCTATAAAGTCATACACTAACATCAGGTGACTCCAATTAATAGATCAAAAACATGCTGAACATTCTTGTTTTCCCTAATTCTGGTAACTAATGGTACATTTCAAGAGCAGGGTTTATAATTAGCAGCCTGCCGGACATTGCTCAGCTTGTACCAGTTACCTGTATGCAAAACAATTGCACTGCAATTCATGTTGCCAGGTAAGTAAATACGAGCAGCGTTTATCTGATTTTCCTTGCTATGCAGGAAGAAGTCACTTCCTTTTTTATTAGTATTGTTATGGTTCCAACCACAGTGAAGGTCGCATTACTCCCTGAGGCTGTGGGGCTCATTTCCACTCCTAATACTGCGTTTAGTCTATGTCATTTCAGTGAAGGAAGAAGGTGCTGGCAGTGGAATTATTGATGTGGCATGTTCCTTTTTCATAAGACGTGACAAAATATAATCTCCGCATCATTTACAGGCCGGTCATCCTTGCCTGTTTGTTTTTCCTTGTTCCATTTCATACCTGAGAAAATTAAATTTGTTTAAACCTTTGTTTTTTCTTTTTCATCAGTTTTTAAACACATACACATACACTGAATTCCTTTGTGTATTGTTACTGCCAGGAAATTCAACTTTTGCAGCTATTTTAACTGCTTTTGTCTCTGTCTTGTTTATTTCTTCTTTTGAGTTGGGTGACCTTTTTCATTTTTTTTTTTTACAAAAAGTGAAAGTCGAGATAAGTAAAAACAGGAATTTCTGTAAACGGGTGGTAATTTCGAGCAAAGGGATGTGGCCAGCTTTGCTGAATCATATTTTGGTGATGAATGTGTTCGAACAGAATGTGGCGCGATTGGTCAGAGTAGAGCTCATTTTAAAATTTGTGCCTGTCATTAGTACAGCTCTGAGGTAAGATGTGCTTCATGATTTTAGCAGGCAAAAGAAATGACCACCATCTCCACAGTTTAACTTCTTAAATGACAGGAAGAGGTGGTCCAATTGTGCTACATCCTTAAAATAATGCTGGTTGTTCACAGAGCAGCTGCTTCACTAATTGCATTATAAGGGGAAACTTGATGTAGGTCAGGCTGTGTAGGCCTGGACTGAAATTTAGCTATGACACTGGGGTGAATACCTCTGCTCTGACACCAAGAACCAGGAGATCTTCAATGACCAAGTAGTCAGGTTCTGAGTTTAAGACCTCCTCAGAAGGATGGCACCTCTGGCAGAGTAGTATGCCTGGTCACTGTACTGTGGCATCAGTTTGGAATGGAAATTCTGGTCCAGAATGGAAGAGTGTCACCTACTATCCCCCCCCCTTACAGAAAATACCCTTTTTTTTTTCTTGGAAGTCTCTCATTGCGATAATGGCCAGACCCAACCTTGCTGAGATCTGATGGCATCGGGTTAGGGGGTACAAGCTTTTCCGTACAAGGGTGCCATATGCGATGGCAACATTTCTTTTCAATTTCCAGGACTTACTGATTCTCCTCCATTTTCCAAGTTACCCTAGGTCTGAAGAAGAAAAAAATATCCTCATGCCACTCTTACCATGGTTATTGAGTTATTTAGGGCTTTGTAGGGGTTAAAATAGCCTCTTTGTCTTGGGTAACATATTTGTACAGCTGGGTTTGCTATAACAGTCCTGTTGCTTTGCTTGCGAGTGTAACAGTGTATCACCTGGGACTAGAATTCAATGCCCTAACCACTACTCCACATTGCAGTTCAACACGGGGCCAAAGGAACATTGCTTTTAATTCTTTTCTACTTTCTCAGATTTGTCTGACCATATACATTTTTTTTCAAACGATCAGGCTTCTTCCAAGAAACCAGCGGAAAACCCCAGTTACTTATTTGTGTTTCTATCTTCCTTTTTGCTACAGAGACAATCGTCTTGTTAAGGTATCACTGACTTTTTCGCTGAAGGATTTCTTGGCCCAATTCAGATATTTTGCAGTAATTCAAGAATTTTGCCAAGCTCTTTACATGATTGTTCTTCTGCATTTTGAAAACCTCTTGCATGGGGGCAGCTGCAGTAGTTCCTGTTCCCTTGTCTTTTGTCCAAAATAGCCCCCACACAGGGTTTTTCCTGTAAAAGGAGGCGTTCTGTGATTTTTCTGATAATTTCACCTTTTTTTTATCTAGTTACATCTCTGCTATTTCTGCCTCTGTCACTTCTGCTGTGCTATTTATTTGTGACAGTTTCATTCTTCATTTTGCTTTTTAAATCATTCTCATTTGTTTTGCATCACTTGATAATTATGTATTATTCATGTGATGTTTTCAATTACATCTGTTAGTAATGAACAACAAATTAATTACATATGAAATACATGTTATCTGCAATCAACGTCATATCATGAAATTAGTTTTTCATACATGCTGGTTTTTATTTGAAGCTTATTTCATAGATCTCAATATCTAAGATCTCAAAATCTTGTTATTTAATCTGCTGTGTTATTATAAAATTGAACCCCCAATGTATCTTTCAGTAGAAAAATTGATTTTAATTATTTTTTGGACTCCCCAAATACTTTTGTTTGGGACTTAAACATAAAACAGCAGTCTCTTCTCTCTGTGTTAGTAATACATCATAGGTCCAAGTTAGAATAATATATTTATATATAGTATTACCTTGTGGTTGTTGTTGATTTCATTTTCTGTTATTTACTTTTTGGGGAAAAAAATATGGCTCATCAGTTGTTGAGCCCTGGTGGTTTTGCACTGTATATCGTTACTGTCCTATGTTATTGATCACTGACTGCCCAGTGCTGAAGGGGCACATTGTGTCTAAAACCACCCTCGCTGACTGAGCTCTTGTATTTCCTCTAGATGCTGCGAGCTCCAGGTGGCGGGACTATGGCGCTCTGGCCATCATCATGGCGGGGATGGCCTTTGGTTTCCACCAGCTCTACCAGGTGCGTTTCACCTTTCATGGCAAAGCTCGAAAGCAGCGCAGGCAGCCGCAGTGAACTTGCAAGAGCAGAGAGACACTAGTTGGTTTCTGGAATGGCGTTTCAGGCCCCCCCTGGACATTGCTTCCTGTCACTGATGGATGCGCGTCTCAGCCTGACATCACTTGCCAGGGCTGTCCAGGATCTGGGCGCTCCTTGCAGCGGGAGGGCTGGCTCTTGGGTTGGTGCTTGCCTGGGGTGTACACATCAGTAACGCACTAAGGCAGAGCTGTGCCGGAGACACTGCATTGGTAACATGTCTGGGAAAGGGCAGCATTCCAGCCCGGGGTAAATAAAGGGATAGATTTGCATGGGGAGATTTTAAATCCTCTTCAGATTTAGTCGTTTGGGACTGTGCGGTGGCTCTGTGCTTAAGGATCTGCGCCTGTGGCTGAAAGGTTGCCCGTTCGTATCCCGTGGTCGGCAGAGGAATCCTACTCCATTGGGCCCCTGAGCAAGGCCCTTAACCCCAACTGCTCCAGGGGCAACGTATAAATGGCTGGCCCTGCGCTCTGTGCAAGTTGGGGTATGCGAAAACACAAATTCCTAATACAAGAAATTGTATATGGCCAATAAAGTGATCTAATGTAATCTAGTGCAGTTCTGCTCTGATAGTTCTGAACACATTGGTGTTGCATAAGATATGCAAATAGGCGGATATTCATACTCAACCTCACAGGCTCCTTTTCTTTGCATCTTAATGTTTCTGAAACGCATCGTCTGGTCATCAAAAAAGGCACAAAGTTAAAAAAAAAAAGCTTCGGCTCGATTGAGTGGTAGCTGCGCATTCTCCGTTTTTCAAAGAAATCAGCGCTTTGTGAGAAGGGTGGGGTGTGCTCGTTGTGTGAGAAATCCCCAGCTGTAACGGGCAAATGCACACACTGGTGTCGCTGAGCGGGGAAATGTCTCCCCATTTGTCTGTGGTGTAGGAAGGGCAATTAGACTATCAAGGAGGGGGCTATACGTGGTTGGAAGACCCTGTTTGTTTTTCTGAAGTTCTAAAAGTTTCCTAGGAGATGCGATAGTACTTGTCAGCACTTTTTTTTAATAGTGGATTTATATTTTTCGAATCTGTGGTTACATTATAGACTTCTAAACCTTTTTGACGAGAAGGCGAGAGGGCCAGACATTCGATAGATCGCTTCATCGGCTCTGTGGGCAGCCTCCTTATTTGTCCCAAGAACATGAGCTCATCTCTCTCTCTCTTCTCTTTTTTTTTCATTGGCTTCTGAAACGATCTGCCAGCACAGCTCACACTTATCCTTTCCAATTTTTTCGTTCTCCTCCCTGCAAGTCAGCACAACTGTTTTTATCATATTCTGATGTCAATAAAGAGCGCTTCTGGTCCTACGCTCTCGCAGAAACCTTGTTTTTTTTATTTTTAAATTACAGCGTATTAATCCCTTGATGCTGCTGGGCTGGTTGTTGCCATGTGGAGACAATTACTGTGCTTTTATAGGTAGAGCAGAAGTTTGCATCAGCTATCCGGGATGACTGCAGCATGTAACTGCTGGTTACAGCACTCATATGTTCTCATGGCAGGATGTTAGCCTTTTCACTGGGGGTTCAGGCTACAAATTTGCTCAGCATTTCATTTCATGTGGACGCATGGCAGTCAGAGGAGTGTGTGGCTGGCGTCAGTCAGCTGTGTGAGTGCTTTGCGTAGCGTACCAGTAGCCCACTTCTGTTAAAACCCATTCTGCTTTTGTCAGCGTCCAGAGCCTATTAAATGGCTTAGAGCTCTAGACTGAGGTGGGGAAGTGACAAAAAAATGATGATTTTCATCAGAGCAAAATTGAGGGTGAAAACTGTCTGGAGGTTAAATTAACACCAGTCCTGTATAGAGAGAGCTCAGTTTCACAAATGACTGTTAAGAACATCAAAGATGAGTCTGCGATGATTTCTTTTTAAAGGGGAGACTCATGACAAAATGACTCATAACTGTTTGAAAAAAAAAATATTGTTTATTAAAAAGATTAGATCAAGTCATTTGGTTTTTGTTTGAACCAGGGAAATCTTTCTGCTTTTTTGGTTAGTGGGTCTGGGAGTTGAAAACATGCATGTGACTCAAAGATGATGGGGCGCAGCCCCGTCATTCATAGGGAGACAGAAGTGTGTTTTGTGTTCCTTTTTGGGGAAAAAAAATTGTATTAATTCTCTCCAGAAATAAAAAAAAAGAAGAATTTCACAAAAAAAAGTCTAAATTCTGTTTTAAAGATGAGATGCTTTTGTAGAAATATTCTCAAGCCACTGTGCAGTAAGGCTTCTTTCTTTTCCTTTTGTATCAGTAAAGGATAGCAGGTCATTGCCCCTGGAACAGGCTCTCCTGCAAGGGGTTGCTCTGCTACTGTCATACTGAGGAGCAGGTCCTGCCATGTGGCTGGACAGTGCACACTTTATTAATGCGATGGAACAGCTTGTAAACACGGCTCACAGCAGCGAGCGTATTAATTACACTGTGCTGGCACTCTTTTAATCTTTTTCAACTTCAGAGTGTTTATTAACGAGTGAAAACCCTGCCTCGGCGTGCACTCCCCCGCCGCCAGCGAGCGAGGCAGGGGAGGAGAAGCCGAAGCCTGCGGCTGGGGGACCCGTTCCCCACACCGAGCAGAACAGGACGCCAGCGCTGTAGCGGGCCGTTAAGCTTGCAGTCCTTCATCTTCTGTCAGCAAGAGAGCCTCAGCCAGGACTTCGTCTCGCTTGGTGGCTGAAAGGAAGCGAAGGGAAAACTGCTGCTTTTCTGAGGGGTTACGTCTCGGGAGCGACGGCACCCCTGCGAAACGAGTGCTGCGTCCCCTGGAGAAAAGGGCTGCCTCCCGTTTGCTCCTTTTCCCCCGCTCTCTTCCCTTCCACACGGCTCTCCCCGGCACGCTGTTATCTTCAAGGTTGACGCGTGTGATAGCAGAGCAGCGCAGACAGAGCGTGTGCAGAATCGCTTAATGATTTCACCTCAGTCCTGACCTGAAGTCAGCCTTGTTGTTCAGTTCTTGGCCTAAAGACAGACGATTGAGTCAAATTGTGCTGAATTAAGTAAGAGAGTCTATTGCAGCGCTAGATTAAATGCCCTTCTTCTGCCTCAAAGGATGAAATGTTTGTTGGTCACTTCATCTAGAGGTCATGCATAGTAGAATACTAATATGCTCTACTTGTGATAAGTGTGTTCCTGCTTCATGAAGAGGAACGCTAAATTTATTGCTCAGCAAATGAGAGGACACTAAAAAAGACCAAATTGAGGAGGCCCTCTGGCATGACAATCTGTCTACAGTAATCTCCTTGCCTTTCAGTCAAAGTCTGTATTCTTAGTATAGAAACAGGAGTTGACAGGTAAGCTTATCATTGTCATGCATTTTTAATGAAGGAGAGCAATACCCTTTTATTTTAAATACTGCTTGGGAATGGTGTTAAAACCTTGGATTTGGAGGTTTCTTTTGAGAAATGAAGGAAAATGCGCTGCATGACTGCATGAGTGAAGCGCAGTCTGACCCAGGTCTGAAGGTCGTCCCACTTGCACTGATTGCATCACCCGGTCTTTTGCAGCATTATCTGTGCCATCTCCTCTTGCTCAGCATTTCGCTCGGAATGTAACAACAAGACAATGACTTTAAATGCAGCTTGTTTTTAAAAATGCAGTTTGAAAGCACAATCCCTCCAGGGTAGATTATGGCCAAATGTGTTGTTCACGTGTGTGTCACAGTGCGAACGTCTTCATGGCCTACATTGAAGAACGCGGCTTGCAGATAAGCATCTCCTCCTCGCTCATCTTATTCCTTGTCCTTTTGTGTTTGATTCCATGTTCTTCTTATTCTGCCATTCCTTTGGATATATCTTCCACAGCGGTGGGAAATCTTTAATATCCTGCTTTGAAACCAATTCTCAGGACACGCCTTCATCTAGAATATTTCTATTTCTTTCTTTTCCCTTACTTTGGGCAACATTTATACTTAAGATATACAAAAGTGGGCTTAAAAATATCCCTTACCTGTTTGTCTGCTGTTTTTTTTATTACCATCCCATTTTGGAATACCCAGATCTTTCAATTTTACCTTCCACATATTGAAAAAGCATAAGATCATGAAGGATTCGGGAAGATGAAGGTTCATCCGTTATCAGACAACTGCTTATTCCTGGTCAGGGTTATGGCAGTTTGGTGCCTGTCCTTCCCAGCTCTACAGGGGCTCATGCTTTAAGGAAACATAGAAAACCTGCCAACACAACGGAGCTGCAGGATCAGGACGGGACACACCTGGACACATGGCCAAGTGCGTCGTTCTTGTGTGTTGTCACAGGGCAAACATCCTCATGGCCCACAGCGACAAGCGCACATTTTTTATGATCAATTAATTGAATAGGCCATCTTACTGTATAAATTACCCATTCCGTATGTATGCTGCATGGATTTTGTTATAATTTTGTTTTAATCCTGGCAAGACAAATTAACTTGTTTAGAGTTTTCACCTGCCATTTTGTTTGGTCTCTATCAGATAAACAGAGAATTACCTCCTAGTTTTTTTAAATTTGCACAATCGCTGTATTTTTCCATCTGTATTTTATGTATTAATATGTATTGCTCGTGTCTGGTTTTCTTCAGTGCGGGTCGTTTCTTGAGACCAGATGATAAAGGTTTGCTTTAAGAAAGAGAAATAATAATGAAAGTGCACAGCTCATTGTAACAGAAGACTCTATAGAGTCTTTAAAGCAGGCACCTCAACTTGGAGTGTGGGCTTTTCAACATTTACTTACACTAGGTCATCTTTGAAAATGTTAATTCCTACTGATATCCTGATGCCCTTATTGTGGCACCAGCCCTACAGATTCCATTCCAAAGTGCCGGGAAGCACCAGTCTCCCTTGAAGTCACACACCGCTGCAGTGGGTGCTTCGTGCCGCTTGCAGGTGGTTTGCAGGTCTGACAGAAAGGTCCAGCTGGAGGTGGTCTGATACACCTTACAATGAACAGCACATTTTACCTTGTTCAGCCTTCCTGGAGGTTTCTAAACAGACAACATAGTCATGTACAATTGATTCACCATATGTGGGGAAAACAAATTGGTTTCTGAAGCCTGATTCCATGTAGAATGACAAGGTGCCTGCTTTGGGAATACAGGAAGATTGTTGCATGACTGCAGTAGAGTTGTGACATATTTACACCCTTCCGTCCACTCCTTTTTAGAGCCATGATACAGCCAGCTTCTTAAATGCTCTTTTAAATGATCCTTCTAATGATCAATTAAATAATTAAGTATCTGGTTGTAGCAAAATCCCAAATCATGAAATTAAGTGAATTGGAGGGCTTTGCATTGAGGAGTTTCCAGCAACAGTTTCTAGTTCTCTCTGCAGAGATGTTAAATGTGCCCTTTTTTAGGTGGATTCTAATGGTGTGTCGTGTTTTTTAATTGCAGAAATATATCCTTCCTCTCATTATGGGCAGCAAAGAGGACAAGAAGCATCTGCAGAGAATCGAGACCAGCATTTCGGAGATGAGTGGCACGTTGACACAGACAGGTGAAGATTAATATCTTCATCAGTTTTCCTCCTTAACATTTTCCTTCATTTATCTGTCGTGAAAATCTGCTCACATTTACAAATGACGCTCCCGTCATTTTGGCTTAATTTGAAATTGCTTGTTTACTGTCGGCTCAGCCTCAATTAATTACGTTTCACTGAAAAGCTCTTAACCTCGGAATATTAATGAGGGGAGCGAAATGACAACGATTTTTTTTTCTTTTTTATGGGCGAGAAAGTTCATTTTAATTTCTGCGCCGAAGTGCGCTGCTCTCACTGGGCCTCCGGAGCTCGCTGATGATTAACTCAGCGGTGACAGGTGTGTCACTTCTTGGGACAGGTGAGAAATTTAATACCTGCCCGTCAAAGAAAGATGGTACCTCTCTCGCAGACACAATTAAACATCTTTGGGGACATCTGGGAAGCTAAACCTCTTAGCATCTCATTGACAGCGTTGGCATGCTTGTTTTAATCTTTGTAGAACAAAATATTTTAAAAATCTGAAAAAGCAAAAATTGCTGAATGGAAAAACTCCTGACAAAATCTTTTTTTTTTCCAACACCTACTGTGCACTTTGTGTTCTGTGGAGTTTTCACCTTCTATGCTCTTGAGCTGCAAAGTAGCACTTCAGAATGTTTCCTGTAAGAAACGTTGATTTGTAGTTTCCTGGACTTCATAATTCAGTGACCAGTTCCTAAAGTAATATATATGTATGTGCTTATGTGCAAATGTATATTGAGAGGTTTCTGGAAGTACTTAAGGCATGAAATTGACTTTAATGTATTCTTTAATGTATTTAGTTTAACTGCAAAAAAATATATGACAGTATTGATTAATTTTGGAAAACACTTCTGCAGTCAAGCCATGTGATATGTATTTCTCAGCCGACGTTCTCCTGCTTAGAGTCCTTGTTTCTCAGGGTTAATCAGTTGATACTGAATAGCAGCTTTTTGCAGGACAGGGCTGCTCAGGGCACAGAGCAGACATAAAGTCAGCAATCCCATTAGCAGAGGAAGCTACCTTCACTCTATAAAGGATGAATTTCACCACTTTCTTTGTGATAAAACTACAGCTTGGCACAAAATGACAGTGCTAAGGATACCATAAAAAACACAGGTTTTTCATTCTTTACGTGACATCAGCCCGGCACTGGTTTTATTTTTTTTTATTTGATTATGTGAGATATTGCGTGCAAAGTTTGTGCGCTCCTGTCGATCTGGTTAACAAATTAGTTCTTTTTATTGTCATTTTGACTCGGCTATGCAAAAACATTTCCTCAGTGAATGTTACCCTTTTTTTTCTTGTTTTTTTTTTCAAGCATAAATAATTCCAGCTTTGTTTATCATTATAGTCAAGATTTTGAGATAAGTTCTGCTGTTTCTCTTTTTGCTTCTTTTTTGAAACTGAAACCTTGGTAGCATGAACATACCACAGTTCCCACTGTAGGAAAATGTACCTTTTCTCACTTAAAGCATCTGTAGGTTTATTTATCTTTTCATTTATTCATAACTACTGACTACTCTCCATATTGTGGGCATTTAATTTAATGGAAATTATTAAATTATCAGTCTGTCTAATGCTAATGACTGCAATCCTACAAAGTATAATTTGTTACCTGTAAAGTTAATACAGCTTCAGAGTAACATGTTCAGAATTAATATTTTCCCCGTTTTGGTGGCTGCTGTGTTCAATCCCTAAACCTGGAGGACGTATCCACCTACATGGCTGTTTGGAACTATAGCAAATGGGTTCTGTAAGCATTTCAGCAAACACAGGCCGTAATATAACTTACTGTTACTACAAGGCTGTCCACCCAGCTGTGAGTGACCAGCTGGCTCTTCAAGAATGAACAAGGCTCTCTGACATGTGTAGTGCACATTAAACTGAAACATTCTCTAAATAATTGACTAAATGTTGTTTGTGCTTTTCATACCAGCACTGTAAGTGAGCCCACACATAAGGTTCTGCAATTATATAAACTGTTTTTAATTTAGATATAACGATACAGCATAAACAGTGCCCTCCCAAAGTATTGGTACAGCAAAATCAAAACTTATTTTTGTTTTACAGTCGAGTAATTTGTATTTGTCACCATGATACAAGTGCAGTATTATATATGTTTTATTTTGGGGGTAAACATTTGATAATTTAGGACAAAAACATGATGTTCAACCCAGTGATTTCAAATGACCATAACTACAAGTACTGTACATATACTCTTTTAGTGCACTTGATTTCATAGTGAAAATCCCAGTTTAAACCTGGTATCCCAGTACTTGTGGAGCGCACTGTATACGTGCGTATAATAAAACCTTTATTTAGTCTGCTGTCTAATTTTTATTTATTTTGTCGGTGCAGATGACGAAGGTAATTTTAATAACAGTAATTAGTAGCGGTAACATACCTAAGGGCCCGTGCCATGCTCAAATGTGACTTCCTTACTTAACAGATCTCCTCTGCGAAACACCATGCCCAAACCGAAGTTGGCATTATTGCCCTTGTGACTCATGCAGGGCCCTGATGCTGGTAGTTATGTGGGAGGCTCTCACATGCCTCTGCCATGGGCACCGCAGAATTGTGGGAGAAACAGAGCTGCACTCTTCTCAAGGGTGCTGGTTATCGTGTGGCTTGACTCTTGTACATGTCAAGAATTCGCAGTGAATGCTGACGTTGGTTCTTACGGGGCAAAATAAAAAAGGTGGGAACCGTTTCAGTTACCCAGTTACCCACAGGCACTGCGGTTTACACACTTTCCAACATCATGTCGTCAGTTCAGAGGTTGAGACCTCTGAGGCAAGACCGATGGCCCCCTTTACACACTCTCCATACATCATGAGGCTGCATCACCAACTGTTGCTAAAGCTCAGAAGCCAGCATCACAAACATACCGCATGCGATCCTCATTAGGAAACATGATCCTCTGACATCTGTGTATAAAAAGGCTTTAATATGCTTTACTGTGAAAAGACCTTTTTATTGAAAAGCAATTGCATTTTTTTTCTTTGCTTTTTTTAGCCTTAAACTAACAGGCTTTTGAAAATGTGAAGAGTAGACCAGTACAGTATCTCTCGATGTTAAACCAATTAGACTTGATTTAACACTTTGCTTTGGATGATTTATACAAATGTTTATTGGTTTTCTGTAATATAATCAGTTTGAAAACTTAATGCATTGTTTGGGAATAAGCACATTAGTAGAGCTGGTGAGAAACTAACTACAGTCAATGTTATTTGAAATGATATGCCACTTTATTGCACAAATGCTGTTTTTTATTACCTTTTATTTGTCCCTTATCTCCTGTACCTTCGGCGATTTTAAAATAATTTAATCTTCAAAGTCAAGGAAAGGAGCACAATATTTATTGGGATTAGGAAGGGGAATTTTGTCTGTTTCTCCCTGTGTATAAAAGGATTTTATTTGTTAGTTGTTTGAAGGATCTCGGATGCATTAAGGTTGCTGATTAGTCAGCTAATGGAAGTGTGTAGACAGTTATTTAATATAAAGGCAGACACAAGATTAGACATGAACCTGTTTGTCTAGCATAAAAGAAAATTCCATTAGACTGTTTGAAAATGATTTTGTTCCTGGACTTCAAGAAAGTGCCAGAACCAACTTCTCAATTCAACACAGTCTTCACTGATTCACAAATCTATGTCTCTCTTTAAGGGGGTGTTTGCAGGTACAATAGTGGACGTTTTGAATGTGTATAAAAATTACACCATATGTTGCCGTCAAAAACTTCGCATTGCTGGTGCATTTTAAAGATTTTTAGAAAATTTAAAAAAAAATAAAAACACTCTCGGTTTTGTTATAGTCAGTTCGGACTTAAGCCAGTTTAACATGATGTGTTTCCTTTTAGAGGAGGTTTCAGCTTTAAAAAGAAAAAGACCGTTTGTCAACTTGTGAATGCTATGGTTAAATTGCAAACAGTTCTCAGATCATTTCTATGTAATTTCTGTACCTAATTTGAGAAGTTGGCAATACGTGTAGTTAACCAGATCCTTCTGGGTGCTCCTTCAAAATGTACTTTACAGTACAGGCTGTGTCGGTAAATGCATTAGAAGTCACTTATACACTACCGTGCTCATTTATGAGTCTTGGAGTTGTCTTTTGACGTGTCAAAGAGAAATAAGAAATCCTCTTTGTGCACAAATTGGTACTAAGGTATTAAATATTAAAGACATAAATTCTCACGGATGATGTGTATATGTTTATATATTTTTTGTTATATAAATTCACTTTTGTGTTGTCCTTCAACGATCTGACTCAATTAAAGATAGGAAACTGAGACTAAGCAACTGTAAATGAAGTAAAAAGAGGTCAAACAGAGAGATCATGGCTTGTCTGCTTTAAATAGGTCAGGTAAGGAGTTTTTGTTGTGTGCTATCTGGCATTGTCTGTTTAAAGTGTAGGATTGGGTTATACTTTAACCAATGAGCTTTCTTTTCACTTGCGGCTCGGTGAATGAGATGACAGAGTGGGCAACAGCTTGACACTTTTGAAGAACAGGCGTTGGTGAAAGATCTGACTAGAGCCAGGAAGGTCTGAGCTGTGCAGTACTACCTGAGGATTGCTTATCTAGGCAGTGTGAAGTGATGGCTTACTGCGTTCTCCCACTGGAGACATTCAGAATAACTTGCAACTGGATTGCATTTACATCCCAGGCCATTGATCCAATTAAGCTTGTCTGACTGGCTTCCTTTACCTTTTTTAATCCCCCTTCCTCACTCAGTCAGTGCAATGTTGCAGAATTGTATGACCTTTTCTGCATCGTTTCCTCGTTGATTTTACTTGCTATCCGAAGTTTCTTTGTGCTTAGCTTGTATCAACCATGCTGCAGGCAACCTTCCAGTTTTCTCTTTGATGAAAATATTATCTTACAATCCAGTTCAGCTGTTTTCTTGAAAGAAGAGGGATGACAGGGGAGTTCTAACCAGTCAGGAGTATCTATCCAGCCAGTTTCTTCAGCATAGGACAGTAGTGCATAACTGCACTCCAAAAAGGCCACTGCATATTTTTCATTCCACCTGAGCTCTTAAATGCTTTGAGGAAATACAGTATCTATGCTCTTGCTCAAGCTATTTGGTTGTTACTGTTCTGAAACTTCAGCTGTTGATGTATTGTAGAGGCCTGTACTATGTGTGTGGAAAGGTTCTGTACCTGTGGCAGGTCCTCTAAAAATCTGTGGTCGTTCCAATCAACATCATTACAGTACTTTAGTGTAACCAGTTATTTGAATTATCAAGGTCAATAAAACAGCATATTAGACTGTGGCAGGTTAGGCCAGCAAGCAGAAACCTCCTGGGCTATGCTATACAATTTAAGGGTTTCACAGTCCACACCAGGAACTATGGCTCATAATGTATAGTGTCTGTTTTGGGAAAAGTAATCCTGTTTTAGCTTTTTTATTGTTTTTTTTTATTTTAAAAAACATTGCACCACGTTAAGGGATATCCCCACAGAGCACATGCAAGATCCAAATCTTGAATTCCCATAATAATCCCATGGAATAGTACTGTCCTGTTGCCACACACGGACGTGTCCTGTAGCTCGGTCAATCTGTCAGTGTTCAACAGCCACAGAATTGTGACCTTGGTAATCAAGAATGTAATGATGTTAAGTGGTCCAATAATCCGAGACACACCAGAAGCTCAAATCACGGATTAGTTAATTAGTTATGCTGGCCACTTGGACACTTTGAACAGGTACAGTGGCTTGGAGCCTGAACACAGTTGTCAACAGATTCATATTCAATATAGCTCTGCCTAATAATACTGCAAATAATAAAAAAAATATTTCGCCCCAATGACATCCTGTGCCCATCTTCTCTACTATGACTATACCCATCGCCTTTAGTGGCTGTGTATGTACACCGCCAAATAAGAACTAATCGATTAGTCTCTGAATGACATTCTCTCTCTGTGGCCCAATATACTTGTTTCTTTTTAAAAAATAGCTCAGTCTTATTAGGTGGGCACCCAAATGGGTTTGTTTTGGGAAAAGTAATCCTGTTTTAGCTTTTTTATTGTTTTTTTTATTTTAAAAAACATTGCACCCCGTTAAGGGATATCCCCACAGAGCACATGCAGGCAACCTGCCTTTTATTCCTCTGTGAGATTTTTGTTCGAGTTTTTCCCTCATTATCAAACTGATGCTCAGCCCCTTGGCCAGCTGAGCAATCACGGATCCTGTGAGGAGTTCATGCCGTGGGAATGACTGAAGTCCTGTAATGGCACGGACTGCAGGAGTCAAGAGCGCCTGCCTTTGCTGTGGAGTGGGGCGCTGAGGGCAGCTCACACAGGCGTGCTCCGTGGTTTAGTGATGACTGTCTGTTTGTTTTGATGCAGTCACGCAGTTGCAGATCACTCTGGCCTCAGTGCAAGAGCTTCTGGTGCAGCAGCAGCAGAAGATACAGGAGCTGTCGCAGGAGCTCGCTGCCTCAGAGGTAACAACACCGTCTTTGCGTGCCTTCGGTTTGAGCATCTTAACCTTCTGCCACAGAGGCCTGGCAAGCAGCTCACTGTCATTGGATCGTAGGTGCACATCTCCAGCCCTCGAGGTCCACAGCCCAGCAGGCGCTTGAGGTCTCTTTACATCATCAAGCACTGAGAAGTTAAACTTGTCCAATTAAGCTAATTAGTCTTTCACTTAAGTCAGGTCATTAAGCGCAGAGGTAGGATGAAAACCCACAGCCCTCCAGGACTAGAGTTTTAAATCACTGTTAGATGTTTTATGTTATGAAATTCTACTTTTCTAAGTACTCTAGTTGTATTGTCCAGTGCAGCACAAATATATACTTTACATCAAGAAACAACACAAATATGTAGCTGATAAAAACAAGTTAATTTAAAACATTCGTGAGTGTAATTCCAGCGTTTCTCTGCTTACTTTTTGAACTATGCAAATGTTTTTGCAGTATTTTCTTTCTTTCAGAATGGGTCAATATTTGTTCTCCTGCATTTGACTAAAACATTACATATGCAGTTATGTTTTTGCATATACTGTATTCTTTCATTTATTATGCTTAATATAGGAAGCCAGTTCCTTCAAGGAAAAGACTTGATGTGTATGATTTTATTCATTCTCTCAAGATTTTCAGCTTTAAACACTGAATCAGAAGTTCATGGGTTTTTCAGATAAATTGAAGAAGCATAGTGGGTATTTTTGAGGACAACAGGCATAGTGGACTCATAACTGGTGGGTTGTGGGTTCACGTCCCGACTACAGGCCCTGTTGTTGTACTTGAGTGAGGTACTGTACCCCAGTTGCTCCAATCCACCCTCCCAAGAAGGGGAGTCTCCATGTGCTCTCTCATCCACCTGATGCCTAGGAAGCCAGGATCAGCTCCATCCGGACGAGCTCATGTGGTTCAGATACGGAAATGACCAACGTGAAGGTCTCCTTTCAGTCTCAAGCACACAAACCAAAGTGGTGATTTTCAGATATCCCCCAGCCGCGCTCCTCTCTAAGTGCTGAAAGATCACTGCTGCAGGGTTTTCATTTTAAACTGGACGCTGTCTCGACACTTTGCATTTGAGTAATGGGTTGCAAAGAGGTTCCAGTCCTCTTAGTTTGCTCCTGGTCCCACATTATTACCTTTTAGCAGGCAAAAAGCCAGATTTGAAAATACGAGTATATGATATTAACTGAATGGTGAAAACATGATTCATGCTTGAGCTAAATAATTTTTAATTTTCATACACGTGCACACTTGGGGTACCAAATAAATCCAAATCTTGAATTCCCATAATAATCCCATGGAATAGTACTGTCCTGTTGCCACACACGGACGTGTCCTGTAGCTCGGTCAATCTGTCAGTGTTCAACAGCCACAGAATTGTGACCTTGGTAATCAAGAATGTAATGATGTTAAGTGGTCCAATAATCCGAGACACACCAGAAGCTCAAATCACGGATTAGTTAATTAGTTACGCTGGCCACTTGGACACTTTGAACAGGTACAGTGGCTTGGAGCCTGAACACAGTTGTCAACAGATTCATATTCAATATAGCTCTGCCTAATAATACTGCAAATAATAAAAGAAATATTTCGCCCCAATGACATCCTGTGCCCATCTTCTCTACTATGACTATACCCATCGCCTTTAGTGGCTGTGTATGTACACCGCCAAATAAGAACTAATCGATTAGTCTCTGAATGACATTCTCTCTCTGTGGCCCAATATACTTGTTTCTTTTTAAAAAATAGCTCAGCCTTATTAGGTGGGCACCCAAATGGGTTTGTGGTCTATATTGCCACTAGTTAATACCACTAAAGCAGCTTTCTAGTCATTTGAATATTGACATGTGGCCTAAATGAACAGTGTCTCCCTGCAAAGATGAAATTTTCTCAGTGTTCCTTTTTGTCCTTAATTGATCATCTGCATCACAGTGAATAGAAGTTTGATGTGCAGACCTTGTTGTCACATTCTTAATTGCGCTCATACAAGTTCTGCTTGTTTTTGTAAGGTTTAATGTGCTTTTGTATTCTCTCTCTTTCCTCATAATGTTGTAAGCCATTTACTGAATAGCTAAAAACCAACATTTGAATAGAGATTCAGACAGTGGTTTATGTCCATAGCTTGTTAAGCAAATGGAAGTCTGAATGTACCATATGGATAATGTAAAAAGACATATGCATTCACATCTGTTTCGAGAGAGGCAGGTTTTGGGGGAGGGAGTGGGCATCCACTTTGTGTGTTAGCTTAAAAACTGCACACTCATTTGAAAGCCTCCCTTCTTAAAATGACATGATGAGATACTGTTTAATGAGACTGAGCTTGAAGCAGATCTTGATTAAGGAGAGTTCTGTTAGGTCTCGTATTCTGAAGACCCGAAACCATTGCTTTGAATCATTCCCTTCTGTGTGAAGCCTTGCAAGTTGTGGCATTCTGCATCTGTCTTTGAACGTGCAATAATCTGAATGGGTAATGAAAAAAACAGACTTGGAGAGATGGAGAAGCATTTTCCCCATCTTAAATGTAAACGTTTTTTTTGCTGCCTTTGCAGTGAAGGCCTTGCTGGAATGGCTGCACTGTATAAAAAGTATATTTCATATCAAAACACCCATTAAACAAATCATAAACTCCACTTTTACAGCCGTAGCGTTGATCTTAAATTTTCTTTGGAGACGTGGAACTCTGTGGTGTCAAGCCATAAGGGAAATTGGGAAATTGTTTTCAGGTCCGGAGCGTGTGATTAAGAACACATGTTCGGCTGTTTAGCTACTTATCATTTTCAGTTAGCGGTTTTTGAACTGGCTTTAGGGTTTTTCTTTGCAGTACGAAATGCACCAGTCTTGACAATTAAAGCTCTTAACACGGAAATGCACATTTAACCCAAAACACATTGGAACGTCTGTTTCTTCAGCTGCTAAGTAAACATTTCTTATAGTTTCTCAACCACTAAATTGTAATGTGTGCTTTTCCAATATTGAAGACATTCTGGGATCCTCGTTCTCCAGACAGGGAAACTGCGGTTGTACAGATTACAGTCTACAGAACCCATCCTATATATACATGCACTAACACATTTTTGTATTTATATATGCACATATGCATACACACATTTGTGTATATATGGAAGGCTTCTGTTTTTAGCCAGGACCGCATGCATGTTATTTTTCAGTTACCAAATAGTTGGTGGTTAGACTGAATTAAGTGTCTTTCGAGCTACATCCTGTTTAGCAAGGTGTTTGCTTCTTTATAAATAAGCAAAGCCTATACATTTTCTAAACCAGTCAGCTATTTTGAGAAGAGAAAATAGCACTGAAATCAGTAACAGATAAATTGTTCTATTGTATTTCAATTTAACCATTGTGACAACATATGCTGTAGTAGACAAACAGCACAGAACATCTCAATTTGTAACAGAACACTCCTGCTTATAGAACTGTGAATGATCAGTGCAATAGACAAAAAAAGTATATTTAAATATCTTACAGGCAGTCTTATCTTTTAATATAAAACTCTAGAGCAGGAAAAAATAGGCATCTGAAGAATTCACCTATTGGCAATATCAGAGAGTGCATGAAGGATTGGGGGATTTTTCCAAACTTAGTCTGCACTGTTGGTTATTTGTTTTCAATTTGGTGTTCACAGGTACCTTGTGATTTTCCAGCTGTATTTGTTTTCCTGGATGTTGTTGTCTGCAGCGTGTCTGCAGTAAAATAGCAGCCAAGCCAGTTCTGAGTTTGCAATACACCCTTGCAGGAGGGGCTATTTTTAAACCCAGGATTAGGGCTTCCTCTCTTCCTTAATAATTTTCATGCATTTGCTCCCCGTGTGCGCTGTTGGAATAAAAGTGCCTGTTGGAGAGGAGGGAGTTGGGGTGGTGCACGTTTCATCTGGCACTCAGGGACCTGCTTTACCTGCAACACTCTCATGCCTCTGATAAACTCACGTAGAGGTAGATCAGCAGAAATGTGTTGCTAGCTCTTTGCCTAAGTCCTTAAGGCACATTTTGATTTTCTCGTTTTTGCTATCTTATTTTTAATATACAGATGCAGCCATTCAGAGCGAGCGAGGAACTGTGAGACCAGTTGTAGTGCATACACGTCTTCAGTCTTCAGTCTTTTCCTCTGCTCTCTGATTGATGGTATACACAAAACACACTCACCTTGTCTGTCCTGCCTTACATTCAGAACAATGAGTCTCAAGCTGTTGTTTTTAAATCTCGTCCTTGGACAGATCTAAGAGACTGCAAGCAGTGTTTGGCTCTTGGAATCTACCCATTCTAAAACACACTATGCCAGAATAATGGCAGACTTACACACGAGGACCTACACACACACTGAAGCACTGTCACCGTCTTCTGCACTGCTTCTGGTTCAGGAGCACATTTCCATTTTAACATCCCTTCTCACCTGCTGTGACTGTGATAAGGAGGAGCCCAGGTGTGCAACAACAGTGAAACTTCCTGGAATATTCTGTTAGTTCTAAGCCACTTTGAAAGTGTCTTGTTTAGGGAGCACACAACAAGTTGCTTTGTGTATGGGTCAAAAGCCAGGGTGCTTCCTTCTCATTCACATTAACCCTGCCGACCAGTTACAAGTTTTATAGAAAGGCTATCCTTTCAGCTTGGACACCACATCACATGGAATCTTAATGTACGCTGACAGATTTCATGCATTGACTAAAAAAAAAAACACTGGCTGCTAATTCTGCGAACTTTACAAGTGATTTAACTAGATCTATTTTGTGTTTGGTGCATCTTTTGAGAAGCCTGCAGACATGTAATCTTCTTACAGCAAGCAGTTTAATCTGATGTTCCACTAGTATGAGAGGAGAGGGGACACCGGGGCTGTGTGGCTCCTGTGTGGCTCCTGTGTCCTGCTGACACAGCCTGTCCACTGAACTCTGAGCAGCCGGAGGCCAGAGGCAAACATATGTTTTGCTGTTACCCAGTGCACTTGTTTCGCAGTCTAATTAGTCTCTTAAAACCGCG